AACCAAGCCAATTTAGCACATCCCACCTCTCCTACAAATCAGACTCCTTCCACAAGAGGGTCCAACATGCAAGTTTGAGTAGCTATTCTTGGAAGAGCACCAGAATTTCACCACAGTGCCTGAGAGACCTTACTGAAAGGCACTCTAGAAACCGTCTCTCTGAGAGGCATTACTTTTAGTCTGAGGACAACCAAAGGCTCAGGGGATGCATCAAGGAAAATCCACTCTGTTATGCCATACCAGCCTCCTGTTTAATCTAATGTTCTCCCTCATCTAAATGACTGTTTTCCCCAAGATTACTCCTCCGAGTCATAGCTCTGCTCTGTGGAACCTTTTAGAGCATGGCAGGAACTTAAAATAAATACAACCCACTAGCGCCCAAGCAAGAGCAACAAGAAACCTAGCACTGTAAGGAAGTACGAGGTCAACACTCCTCACCCGATGCAATAGATGTCTGGAGGCTCTGGGTCACACACAAGCCAGGGCTCCAAGCTGCTGTCTGGAGACTGCCCATTCACATTCCACGTGCCCACAAAAAACCTGSAACACAGAAGCAGCCAAACCATCAGAAAACAAAATAAATCCTGCAGCAGGAGTGCACATGCAGCAGCACACAGGCTGGGAGTGGATGCAACATGTGAACTGTCAGGGTCACACGGACTAGGGGTTAACTGAAAATACTAGGTTTGGCATCTGAATAAACTAACCTGAAGGATTTTACTGAATGCAGCAAAATAGAAGACATTTCATTGGGGTCAGCAAGTGACTTCTGGTTCTCTAAATTCACTCCATATATGATGACACTATGACAGTTTAGCAGCCAGATCTGCCTTTATCCTCTTTCTGCCCAGCTGCTTCAGTCTTACTCAACGGTTGAGAGATCTGATACACCCACGGGTAACGATGCAAAAGGAGAAGMAGCACTGTAGACTTCTGTTCATTCTGAAGTGCACAGACCCCTTTCAAGCTGACCACCCAACAGTAGTGGTCAGATTTGAAACCYGGCCTAAACAAGAGCTCATGGAAGAGAGGAGAAAGCTGTGTCTATCTATGTGCACCGTTTTGAGTGACAGCTCTGGAAGCGACTCTGACCTGAAGTTCTGTAGGTTAACATACTCCTCCTCTCTCTTGGCAAGCACGTGTTTGATGAGACCTTCTCTTTGCCCYGACTGGGTGTTGGGCAAAAATATTTTGCGCATAGTGTTGGTTACTTTTGGCTGGTCCCTTGATGGCCCCTCTCTCTCTCGATGAAATCTAAGAAGGAAGCAAGAGAAGAATTAAAACCGGTCCTGCTGTCTAGGAAGGGAAGAAAAAAAAGGGAAGAGATCCACCATGGTACTTACTGCCTATTTTGAGGCACAGGAGGAGGTGGAGGTTCCCGGCGAGATCCCATTTGGTGGTTTTGCACGTTTCTTTTCTTCTCCAGGCTTATTGCATTGAAGTCATCCTCAAACCCCAGATCTCCTATAWGGAAGAAGCCAAGCATAACACCCTTGAACAGTTTAAAACAGCTCAAAGCAAGAAGGAAGCAATATCATTCTACAGAAAGTGCAAGAGCAAATGGCAATGGTGATACATCATCTCTGATGACATGGAGCGAGAGAAACGGGTACTAACCACAGGCCAAAGCAGCACAGAACTTAACCTATGCAACCCAAGGCACTAGACAAGACAGCACTCGATAACAGGCAGGCCAGGGCAAGCAAGCCCAAGGACTAGGATGTTTTATTTTCTGCAGGATAAGGTGGTGTCAGGAAACGCAGCAGAAGCACTAGCCAGAGTGCTGAAGGCAGCATCAACCCCGACAGCTCCCTGTCACCGACAATCCCACTTCTACATGCTGATCACAGCACATATAAAGCACACAGTCAATTCAGTACCTGAAGCAGGGGCCTGTGGCAAGCCTGAGACATTCTTCACTTGATGCCAGCTGTCTGAGTCCTTATTTTCAGCAGGAGAAGCTTTCGACTGGGCTGGGAATGAAGAACAGGCATATCAGAAACCGCTCGTGATCTGAGGGTTTAACAAATGCAACTCCAGGTCTGGTTACCTTCCTGGATGCTCTGTATTTCTGAAAGGAAGCTCAAGCAACGCTCCTCATCGGGGATTTCAAAGAGCCGCTCCGCTGTCTTATCACCTTGTATCCGGATCTTGCAGCCTGCTTCAGGCACAAAAACAGACATGCAGATCTATAGTCCAGTCCACACCACAGACCTTATGCCCTCCCAGTGGCCAGGCTTAGAGCTCGTCAACAGAAGTGMACACCCACTTATGTTCTCCTATGCAAATCTGCATCTAAACTAGGTTCCAAGTCAAATAAATGGAAGGGAAATGCAAAACGTTAAGAGGGCTGAGGGCTTGGGGAAATAGTTAGGAAGTTAAAGTTTAACCAAATGGCAATTCCTCATTGGGGCATTTAAGTAGTGTTTATCCTACCAACTGAATGCTTACTAGGAAGCCGAAAAGAGCCGGATTACAGCACTACAGAAAATGCAGTCCATATCTAACAAGAAGACAAACACRGAGTATGGAAGAACAGTATAAGAGAGCAGGCAAAAGAGGGAAAGGCTTCTATCTGTGACCAGCATGCTGAGAGCTGCGGCCGTGTTGTGGTTGCACAACTTACTGTTTGTCGCTATATCAATCAGCAGAGTCTCTTCTGCTTCTGGAAGAGAGAAAAASAGGATCAAGAAGGTTCACATTGAACGCTGGGATAATTCAGGCCTCAGTAAAAGCATGCTGCCTCCTTCCAGCCACAGGAAGAGTCCTGGCAAAGGAACTTTAATCTACATCCCTACAGAAATAACGGCTCCAGCAGGGAGAAGAGTCAAGTTTGGACAGCCTAGACAGACGTTCTCCACAGTCAAAGTGCCACGGGGARATTCAGAGCTCTCCTATATGGGGACGTTCTATTCCACATCAGCATAGTTCCTCTGAAAAGCACCAACCTGACGTTTCTGCACTCAGAAATGCCTGTGTATACACGAACAAAAGCTTCTCCCCATATGAGCCTACCAATGAACTTCAAGGACGGTGACACTATGGGTAGGAACTATGCTCAATTAGACAGAGAGCATTTTTTTACCCAGAAAAAAAGGGTGTTTTTATCGCTCCCAACCCTCATCATTGTGGAGAAGACAGCTATCAACAGCCACGAATTTTCAGTCATGACAGACACGACATGACAGCAGCGACTGGCTCTGCGTGCCAGCCAAGCCCAGCTCACGTCTGAACCAGGCAAGCTCATCGCAGCTGCATGCTGAGATGGAAACACTCCGCGCCCTGTTCTGGGAGAAGAGGAGCAAAAACTCGGAAGTTTCAATTCCAGGAGGGCACGTTCGATCCGCACGGATGCTCAGGAGGCAGGCGAAGCCGCCCCCGCCGCATTCACCCCGTTCCTGCTGCCAAAGGGCAGGGGATTTCTGCCAAACCGCGGTCAGAGCCTCTTGCAGCGGCGCCAGTACCTTGCACGCATTTAAAGCGGCTGTTGATGGGAATATAATCCGGATCAGCGTGTTCCTTCTCTCGGGAATGGATAATTACCCTGGGGGCGGAGAGGAGGCAGGTGAGAACCCGACGCCGGTGGCTGCCGGTGCCCGGGACGCGCGAGGCCGCGGCGGGAGGGCCGGGCCCGGGGCACCGAGACCGRGCCGGGACGCACGACCCGAGGGCCGCTCTCCGGTTCCGCTCGCGGCCCGGAGTGCGGGGATCTCCGCTCGCGGAGCCCCGGGCGCCCGCCCCGGCTCCCGCGCCGCCACCGCAAGGGCCCGCCGCGGTACTCACTGGTGGCGGCCGTGCCGCTGGCCCAGGCTCAGCACGCACGGGGCCCGCCGCCCGCCGCGCACCTCCTCGCCCGCCACGCTCAGTGCCGGC